CCACCCTCAATCATTTTCATTTCTTTACAGCCATTGCACTCTAATTGCTTTGACTAAAAATAACATGAGAATTTGCCATAGATAATAACGCCTCTTTCACTGCATTTTTGTGAATACAAAGGTGGGCATTTTTGTGCTTTGAATTCGCTCAACTTTCAGGCCATTAGTTGATTTGATTTGAAGCTGTTTGTGTCTCCCTCCTCCCAAGAGTATGAATGGTGCTCAGTGCTCAGCTGATATGTAGCCTTAATAGCTTTGCCTTATTTTATACTTCATTTATAGACATAATACAGTGAATTAAAGGCTGGCTTCAGTTTGCTAATCACACCCAGTCACATGCTTTTAATAAAAAATGGACCGAATTGCAGTTAGGAATCAGTCACACGAAGAAATGGATACATCTGCTTTAATTTAATCACTGGGACATAATAGAAGTGTGATTCACATTAAATTGCTCACTAGTCATTTTTAAATACTATTAGCAATTGATCTACAAAAGGAAACAATGAATGCTGTTTAGATGTGTTTATTTTTAAGATAAAACTGCATATGAACGGATAAATCCTGTGTTTAATCCTCTCATTCCTTTCCCTTTGTTAATCAGTGTCTCCTTGTTCTGGCCTCCCTGACTTATGATGCTACCTATCATTAAGCCAAACCAGAAATACAGGTCTGAGATAATCCGTACCAGCTTAGTTGCTTTGCAATGTGTCCATTATACTGTATTTGTATAGTTATCTCTTCCCATCTCACAAAGAAAACACTGAAAGGAATATGATGCGTGGCTTTCACACGGCTGGCATTAGTATGAGGAGTAAAACAGAAAGGAAAAGTTACGTGTGCTGATCGATAAAAAACATGGGACATGTACATGCAGGGGACAAATTAAAGCAATAATAACCAAACTTAGTAAGGTGCTGGGTCACAATGTTTCCGAGTCTCTGGGAATCAACTGGAGGGATGAACACCATTCATCCAAAACGGATTCCCTCATTTGGTGTTTTGACGATAGTGGTGGTGGGGAGAGCCGTTTAACACACCAGTGCAAAAGCTCCTGCAGGTGTTCCACCGGGTTGAGATCTGGTGACTGCGAAGGTCACACATTGAATTATTCACATCATTTTCACAATCATCAACCGGTTTTGTGACAAACAACCAGAGTGAGTTTTTATTGATTCGCACTGACCTTTCGTCTAACAGCGAAAAACGATCCAAATTGTGCAAGAAAAATTCCCCCAAAAGTACAAAAGAGCCACTGCTGGTGTACATGAGTCAATTTATACTTGGTTAATGTTGTAAGGAGTTTAACCCAGATTCATGTTTTACTCTAACCAACCTGTAAAATATAGATAAATATAATAACAATAATAAGTCAAATCGAAAAAAGGATCCTAGTTGGACACTCCTGAGTGAAAGTCTTCTGTTTTGACCCAAACACCTAGCTTGACCTCCCCCCTTTGTGGACTGCTTTACACTTTATAGTTTCTCACCTGACTTCTAAAGGCTTGAGTGGCAGAAAGCAAACTTCTCCCCTTCATACAACATCTGTCTTTAAGATTGCTCTTCTGTAATGTTTGAAGGAGCGTCACGGTCATCAGTTGTGTACCATCCACCATGATTTCCAGTGGATCTAAATGCAGATGTGCTTTAAGTCAATGAAGCAAATAACAGTTGAGCGTTGTGACTGAAGCTTCTGCCCCTTCTTTCAAAGGGATCTTTTCCTCCTTCCATTGTGGTAGAAAATGAGAATCCACTGGGCCTGCTCAGCATTTATCTACATGCCACGGAGCATGAGTGGATGTTAATTGCTTAATTGTACCATGCAGTGCACCTGTGTGGAAACATCTGCACTGGCTGTGTCTCTCCACTCATTTATTCAGGGTTTTTCTTTTAGATAGCCTCATTTATTATTGCAGATGTTTTGCTTTGCACGGGATGACTAAATTAGTCAGATATTGTGATTGGAGTGCCTTTGTTTATCCGTGATGCAGTCCATGTTCAGTACAAGAAAAAAGAAACACTGTGGCAGACATGAGGCAAAAAAATAAATCACTCAAAACTCTGGAACAGTGAAAGATTTTTAAAATCTTCCTTTAAAAATCAGTCATCACAAATAATGGACAGTTGTATAAATAGGATAGACCATAAAATAATTAACAATAACCCATGACTAGACTCTTATCTACGCACATAAAAAGTGTTTTCTTATCAGCGAGACCATTAAATGTTGCTGTGGCTAATGGTCACTTATCCAAACAGAACAGAGATCTTACGCTTTTTATTTACATGAATTGTTCCAAGTGTTGATGCCAAATTGTTGTCAAGGTGTAATGTGCTAATGTAATTTAGCTTTAAAAGAAAAAAAAAAAAGATCTTTCTAAAAAAAAGATCTTTCGCACAAGTCTACAAGCCGTGAACATTACCAGTCAGTTGATTTTGTGCTGCGCTCTTCTCAAACTCCGCATTTCAACACACAGCATCTCCATGAGGATTTGACTGAAGCTTCACTTGGCTCTGGATTACTTTGAAGCAGCAGGGGGTGCACAGTGTAAGTCGGAACAAGTAACAGTCAGAGTTATCAAACTGCCTACAAATGATCGTGTTCCTGCTACAGAGGTTCATGCATGTTTGCCATGAATGACACGAGTTCGGTGGGTTTTTTTTCTCCTTTTCTAACTTGCCTTTTTATTACTCTGTGGTTAAAATTAGAGGGGAGGAAAAACAGCTCAAATTGCTCATGACACGAACAACAGGAGGAACATGTTGTGATTTGGAAATTTAACGTCTAAAAAGCCTCATCAGTACTTCTGGTTAAAGTTTAAATGTATAGAAATAGGCACAGATTCTGTGTCGCTGCCATTATACAACTAGAGCCAGAGCCACGGGCTAAAAGCAGCCTTTCTGTCCTTTAGCTTTCCCACTTTTCTCTGTTTATGTCCCTTTTCCTCCTGCTCATTGACTCTGCCTGTAAGGTGCTTTTAGCGGGCCTTGTGTGGCCGGGTTAGAGATGGATGTGTGGCCCTTGGGAGCCGCAGGCAGAGTGCAACACTGATCATGTCAGACAGGCTGGGGAGGCTGCATAAGATCATCATCACCCAGCAGTGGAGTGAATCGCCGCAGTGGCACTTTCACACAACCTCTGACCTCCGGTGCAACCTCTGAGGTCATGATCAAGGTCAGGGGTCAGCGAGGGCCTCAGCGATCGCGGCGTCCGCAGGCCCCGCCTGGCTCTTCTTCTCCTTGTTTGTGTTCTCTTCTTCATTTTTCTCCTCTCACTTTTCTCTTCCCCTCATCTTCTATCTGTTTCTTTATCGCTCACGCTCTCTGTTCGCCCCGGCGGGACCAATTGAGACATCCAATCCCCTGGGAGTGTGAAAAGGAGAGCAAGAGAAAATCAATAGGGAAGATGAGTGAAGACCTGGAGGTCCCATCAAAAACTGAATGCTTCTCTGTGTGCTGGCATGATTCACACATCCACAAAAACACATACAGATACACAGCGGTATTGCTTTTGAGAGACAGGAAGGCAGCAGTAAACAGCAGTCTGGAAATCGTAGCAAACAACTGGATGGGTCTGCAAAACATCCAGTTTGATGGCTTCCCAGGTCAAAACAGAGTGACATGAAGAGCTCTTCTGTCTGTTTTGTGTGTGTGTGTTTTTCTGTCCTTTTAGCTAGATTGCATACATGTGCCCACAAGTCTGTTGTTGGAGAGATGTTTGAACCAAGAAAGACGCAATATCGATCTCTCCAGAGAGATTCAAGGTCTGCAACAACAAGTGAAAGAGCACGATGTCACATAAGTTCTCTTCCAGCAGGCGAGACGACACAAACATAAATGCCAGGCTTTGTGTGTATCGTCGTGGCTGTAATCTGAGCTGTGCAAAATGTCACCATATCACCAATCAGCTCGACTTTAATTATAGTACATTTACAGACACATTTGCATGGCTTTGTGCTGCATAAAAGGCTTAAAATAAATAAAACTGAACCAATAAAAGGAAAAAGCAAACTCATCCCTATGTGTCATTTCCTGCACTCAAGAGCCTCTGCTATTTTGGAGAAGAAGCACACATGTTTATAATGTTAAACCTCACTACTTGTCTACATAACTTATGTCTGGGTAGATTTCTTCCCAACACAAGATAACCCCAGGCAGGACATTAAATGATTGGCTGAAAATAGAACTGTTCAGATGAAAGGGAGAATAAATAATGCACAGAGAATACAAAACCTCTTGTGGGGATAACTAGTCGTGCATGCACATGCACACATTTCTTCCATGGTGAAGAAAAGTGAATGGATGTAACAGGAAGGAGGAGGACCCAGCGGAGACACACATGCTTCTTGCTTCATCTCCTCCCACTCCTCGTCTGCCATTTTTTTCCGCTCACATTCAGACTTCATGACATACTCTGTGTCTGTGGGGAGGAATAACATCGTCCCAGTCACGGCGTGTTTTTCCTGCCCACCAGAGCTCAGACACAACACACAGTGCACGGTTTCCATCCCTGCTGCCTCATCATTTTTTATGAGTTTTGATCAGAATGGATTCATATGATGACAACAGCCTGGACAGTTGATCCCTTTACAGGGAGAGTAATACGCCATTGTGTTAACAACTTTTTTAAAAAAAAATTTGAAATCACCAAATGAAAACAGTGAGTCACGTCGTAGTTAGAGGGTGTTGCAATGTTGGGTTATATCTAATAAATAAAACATTCAAGACAAACCTTTTCAAAGCACCGCTGCTGCATGACTAATTTGCAGCTGGGATGTTTATTCATTGGCGAAATTAGACATGCACGTTTTGAGGAAGATCCTTAATGTCACTACACACACAGCAAACGGCACAGGACGGCGCACGGGCAAGCTTTGCGCTTGTGTAGGGAGACACCAAGTGGTCAGTGACAAGTGTAGCGTCTCACAAGAGGCCGTGTCAAGTTTTCAGGGGCCAAAGAACTGCTGCTGACAAGAGCTCCCGTCTGTCATCCTTTAAAATGCGAGGGATTGTTTACACGACTTAATAATCATAAACAGTAGTTCAGGGGTTAGAGCCATGCAATAGTGTACAGTGTTACACTTTCTGCACGCTCGATTTAAACCTCAGTCTTACCTTGTTTGGATTATACTCGCAAACTGACTCACGAGCCGATTTCTAAAGGGCCTTCTAATTAAAAAACATTTGCTTGTTTTATGAGCGGATCGCCGCGCCCTGGGTCAAGATGTTTACGCTAAAAGTGCCCGAAAAGTCCTCCGACAGTCAACAGGCCTCACAAAGGCCCCATTCAGCTGTAACTGGAACCTGCGCTGCCACGTCAAGTATATCCTAGAGCACAGGGACAAACTTTTACTTTTACTTTACATGAGCCATGACGGTAGTTTGAAGTCTCTCGACGAGTCGGACAGGTGAGACAACAATGAGGCAACAAGGAGTATTTTGGAGCTGTGGAACGCCATTAGCTTTACTGGCTTAACTGTACCTTGCTCTCTTTATCGCACCTGAAACTACAATGACTTTAAAAGTAGAGCACACTGGGTGTGACTGCACGACTGTAATGGACTCCGGTGTTTAACCTACTTTCCCCGAAAAGCCTCAAATGGCTGTGCGGATGTCTCAAAGACGCAAACTGATATTACAGTAGTTTTGGGGGAATCCGCAGGGTGAAGGGCGTCGATGGGAATTGGGGATCTCTGGAGACCAGAGGGCCGCCCCTCAATTGCAGCTCACGGAGCAGACAGGCGCTCAGGGTTATTCCGGCGGAAAAACCGCTGCGTGTGTGTTCTCACAGGGGTCTGCTCCTCTGTGTGCGTGGCCACTGTGGTTTTCCTGTTACTCGTGGGAGTCTGCCTGCTCTACCTGCCGGATGCATTAGCGCCTGACCCGCTGGTTTCTCTCAGCCCGGTGACGCTGCTGATTTGGACGCATCCATTCGGTCAGTATCGAGAACTTCCGGACTGCCTCGAGCTGTTTCAGATAGACGGCTGCACGCTCACGGACGACGAGCTAAGGTACCCACAGGCTGACGCCGTGATAATTCACCACCGGGAGATTGCCACTGGCTACGCCGATCTCCCACCAGAACCGCGGCCACCTGCGCAAAAGTGGATATGGATGAACTTCGAGTCTCCCACGCACACGCGTGGACTCTGGCGTTTAGGGGGTGTTTTTAACCTCACGATGAGCTACCGGACAGACTCGGACATTTTCCTCCCCTATGGGTATCTGGTCCCCCTCGCGCGCACAGAGAGGGCTCTCCAGAAAGGCTTTGCGCTGCCGCTTCGCGGATCTTACAGCTCCAAACTCCTGCGGTCACGCTTCGTGGCCTGGGTCATCAGCAACTGGTCGGAGTCCCAGGCGCGCGTGACCTTCTACTACCAGCTGCGCCAATACATCCAGATCGATGTGTTCGGGCGCGCGGGCTCGCCGTTACCGACAGGCAGCGTGGTGCCGCTCGCCAAGCGGTACCTGTTCTACCTGGCGCTGGAGAACTCCCAGCACACCGACTACATCACGGAGAAGCTGTGGAACGCCGTGCTGGCCGGTGCAGTCCCCGTGGTGCTGGGTCCGTCCAGGCAGAACTATGAGCGTTTCCTGCCCCCCGAGGCCTTCATCCACGTGGACGACTTCCCCTCAGTGGAAGAGCTGGCCCAATACCTGCTGATGCTGAGGCGGAGCCCAGCTCAGATGAGACGGCACCTGGACTGGAGGAGGGGCTACGGCGTACGCCAGCCGACCTTCTTCAACGAGCACTTCTGCACAGCCTGCAGGGCGGTGAGGAAGACCAGAGGCAGGACTAATGTAGTCACAGACCTGACACGTTGGTTCCACTCGTGAAAACATGCATCAGACCTCCAGCACCTGTTTGAAATGACGGCAAAGCCGAGAGATAAGACCATGAGAGGGGAAAGATTTACTAACCACATGCTGCTTCCAGAGTTTACAAATCAAATCTTTTTATCATCAGTGAAAGAGTATATTTAATTTATGTGATTTATTAAATAGTGTAATAACTTAAATACATTTATGATCATTGATCTTATCTGAGTGAATTCTTCTAGAAGTTGTTTTTTATCTTAATTAATTAATTTATTTTAACTGACTCCCATCTAGCCAGTAAGAGTCCTTCTGATAAAACAGTTGGAGTAGAGTTAACCTTCTGCACCAGGGCTTAACAACACAACATCTGTAATTTAGACCAGCGGTGTCAAACATAGGGCCTGGGGGCCAGAATCGGCCTGCAAAGACTCCAATACGCTCATCTGGACACCTTTTAGAAAATCTGAAGGAGTGCATAGTATTTGAACTTATAATTGTATTTTCATAAGTTTTACAGCTTTTCCAATTGATAAAGTGCTTTTTAAAAAAATGTGAATTCATAAAAATGTTATATTTTGTAATTACAGGAGAGTCAGTGCAATAAACAACCACAACTTTTTATGTAATTTTAAGTAGGGGAGACCGGGGATAGTTGTAACATTTTTGACATTTCTGTCTGTAAATTGGAGCTCTTTTAAGGTAGTGGATTCAAAATGTAATGCAAAGTATTTACATGTCTCTGCTATTAAATAGTGCAGCTATTTTCTCTGCAGCGCAATTACCCATTGCATGGTATGGTCTCAAACACGAAGAGTGAAATGTTACAATTGACCCCATAGTCTGGGTTAGTTGTAACATATCCTGGGGTGAAATCTAACACAATGAAATAAGGGTACTAACAAAACATTAACATGTAATCTTTGCTTATTCAACACATGAATGCACTTACATCCATTTATGTGTGTGTGTGTGTGTGACAGAATGCAGAAATCTAGCTTTTGAACATATTCCAACCCCCCAAAAAAAGACAAATTATGGAATTTTCTGCAACTGAATATTTCATTAATTTTGGTTGGTCTTCCTTGAGTTTGGCCTCATTGGCTCAGTGGGCATTATAACCTACAACTCTTGCACCAATTTTGAACATAACAATGAAGCTGAAAAAATATAGTTGTTCACCAGCATCGCAATTCCATTACTTTTTATCATGGTTTACCTTGGTGTGGTTTGCAAAGTGCTTCAGAAAGATGAGGAAATCTGTTTCTTGCACCCATCCCGTTACAGCCAACGGCTAAAACATTAGCACTAAAGACCTACACAGAATATATCCCCATAGACATACAAATAACATAATTTAAGTTTGATGACTTTAACTGCAAAGCAGATAATGCTATTAGAAATTGAAATAAAGTAGAAAAACGTACTTTTTGGCATACAAATTACTTTTTTTCATGTTAAATTGTCTGTGTTTGACAAAATGTGCTGATTTTTCACATGTGATAGCAGAACTGAATTGGGCATGCACAGGATGAGTCACATCATTTGAAACTTAGCCCTGATTGGAGAAATTGGAAGTGTTACAACTGACCCACGTTACAACTATCCCCGGTCTCCCCTACTCACCATGTAGTTTCACTGTTCTGGCTCACTTAAGATTAAATCGGGCTGTATGTGGCCCACAGTGTAAAATTAATTTGACTTGGCTGCTTGGCAAAATTAAAGTGTGTGACAAAGAAGAAAGACCACAGTCTTCAGATAATATTATTTTATTTTTATTTTTTTAAAGTGACCAAATGTTCATGTGTGACTGTGACTATATATTAAAAATATCTGAGTGCCTTTTGTTCAGGTTTCACACCTCTGTGAAGCAGCTTTTACCTGATAGTGAGATGGGAAAAGAAAACATGAGGAAGAACAAACAAATATGCTGGTGCAGGAAATAAGCTTTCAGAGAAAGGGCACACATGTTTACCTGCAACTTCCTCAAGGTGACTCAGAAAGAATGCCACATGTCCCCACCACAGCCTGCTCTTTGTGTCTGCACATCACTAATCACTTTATTGCAGCGCTGTTCCTGCTCTGAGTCATTTTTAAAGGTGTCATTAGACCCCAAACCTAATACTGTTCAAACCTGAGGCGCTGGGGTTTTGCATTTTTCATTTAAGATTGCATAATAAGCGCACGCGCACGCTCGTTTTGCTGATATTTTTACTATCTGTTATATATTGTTGTGGCTTCGGCTGTGGCAGTAATGCAGAAAACGAGAAAAAAAACAAGGGAGGAGGTGAACACATGTGCATCAGCAGTCACTTGATAGGACTGCTGATGATGTGATGCAGATCATTTAAATTTACACCTCTGCATTGGGGCCGTGGCACAGAATTAACACTTCCCACTGTCAAATGAGACATTTCCTACAGGCGGCAAATAATGTTGTTCCCCATAATGAGCTGATGCCTCAACAGCTGGTGAAACCACTCACGTCTATCAGCAATAATGGTTTCAGATGGCCAGAACAGCCAGAGCCCTTATCCCTGTCTTAATCCCATTCATGCGAGCATATCTGGTTACTGTTAGTACTGGTTACCATCTTTGCTTTCAAATATAGATCCATTAATCTATACCTCTCCACTGTGGACAGAACAGGTGCTAGACAGCTGACATATGGACACACAGAAAGCAGACTTCTCTTAATGTGCATTAAAAAGCGCATCTGATCACTGAGAAGACTACAAAGGAGCTACACAGCGGTAACACCCTGAACAGGATATCTGACATGCTTATTATACATATTTCCCTGCAAACACTGTGATGCTTAGCAACTTTTATTTATGTGTCTCATGCTCGTTTAATTAAAATTTGTGATTGTGTTTACACAGTAATCAATATGACTGTCACGATGCTTCTTGTTAAGCATTAAATCTTACAAATTAAGAAAAAAATATATGCAGAAATACAATCAACTGCATGATCGTTTATAAACGATCTCCAATCTCTGTGATGTTTATGCTGACTGACACAGGTTGCCACCCAAGCTGTTTTCACTTAACCGAACCACAGCAGATCTGGTATCTCAGTGGGCATGTGTTACAGGCACCCACAAGAGGCTTAAAAAGAAGGAGACTTGAGTTCTGAGTAGAAACAGATCCAGGAGTTCAATGAGGTTAGAGTACAGATGCCAGTGTGTGTGTGTTTGTTTGTTTGTGCGTGTGTGTGTGTGTGCACGCTAATAGGGCTCACTCCCTTTTGCTCTGTGAAGCTGAACTGCCTCTTCTGGCAGTTTGCATCCTCTGCTAGCAGGCTTTCACAAATATGGACCAGAGCTTAGTCAATATCATACATAAGAGATGCCAAAGAGCTTCTTCTTTGGCTCTATTTTTAAACAATTTCTTGAAATGCAGATGATAGATGAAAATGTGAGTTTAAGTTAAAAAAAAAAAGTCTGTTATTAACTGTTGATCAGCTTGAATTAAAATAAAAACATCAAATTTTATCACCTCTTTTTAAAAATCTATTTGTGTTTTCAAAATGTGTTTATATTTGCATTTAGATGTTCTATATTTGTGAACCATATGCCCACAAAGTGGATACAAACCAAAGAATTTATTTCTTCCACATATAATAATAACTTAAAGCTAGTCAGATATTAATATTTTAAGTCATAGTCATTCATATTTAAAGATCACAGACTAGGTTGATTTTAAAAGTATTCTTAATGTTTTTTATGGGTTAAAAAAATAGTTACCTGAATGCACTCACAGAAAGGATTCTGGTATGTGCTGCAAAGTCCAGATTTGTTACCATCAAAACATTACGTTTTAGCAGGGTGACACAAAAAGTATCATCTCAAGGTGAGTCAGTGCAGTGTGCATGGACGTCTTTGAAATGAACAGTCCCTGCTCGCAGCGTTACCTGTGTTTTGTCAGAAACTGACCCCGAGCAGACGATTCTCAGTGCCTTCGAAGTCTTTGACCCAGAAGGAGCAGTAGTTCCTCAGGATGGGCGGAAAAGAGCGACTGTGAGATATTATTCACAGTTTTTACAGCAGAGACTCGGTGACCCTTCACAGGAATTCATCACACAGATAACAACGAATTAGACCAATAAAGGAGGCGTTTCATGATGATGCAAGGCTCAGCCAGTGAAAGGCAGAATGTAAAGTCAGAGAGATTGAAACAGTGATTCTTGTTCCTCGTTGCTCCCCTGCAGCACGAAATAACACCTCATGTCATGGGCTGACAAGTTTACAGAGGATGAGGTGAGTCGTCGCTTGGCAACAAGGTGAAATATCGGATGTATCAATATGAGATACAAGTGGTCGAGATACTTTTGAACAACTATAAAGTGAGCCTTGATGAATACTCGGAATAAAAGGCAATTTGATTATTTAAAGCCCTTAAATACCCGCTGCAGCTTATTACAAAGATCCTTCACAGCTCCTTCTTCAGTAACAGTGCCATTCATAACCTACATGGCCCCTGGCTAGAGACACAGTAATCTCATTTGTGCAGCAACAGATGTTTCTCTTAAAAACATCCGTTGACTGGGGAGTGAAAACTATGCCTCTCATTCTCTCGGGAGGGTTCAAAGAGACCAGTATAATCACTATGAAATTTGTCACATTTGTACTGGTTTAAAGAGATATGCAGACTTACTGCAGACTCGCTATGTTGTAAAACAGCAAAAGCTCTCCTTCTCTGTCCCTCTCACACAGCCTGCACATATTTTATAAGGAAGCTTTCATGTTCTGTTTATCAAAACACCGTGAAGGGGGGAGGTAAGGGGGCCAAGAAAATGCATATGAAACAACAAAACCCCTCGACAAATAAACAGCACTGTGTTCCCATGGCAGCGCGTTGCATTAATCTGAAGGCTGGTTTCCCATGGCTGTGTCTCACTGCCCCATAGACCTCCACTCTGTCTCACTGATGGCTCCTGTGATTGCAATCATCCATCTTACTGTCAAAAGCAAAAAAAAAAAAAAGAAGGGCAAGAAAGGGGAAATCGCACACACCATCTCGCTCTCGCTCCCTTGTGTCCAGCAAACAAGGCACCCCAATGTGAGCAGAGCCGACACATGGACCACAGGCCCTCTGCATTGTGTGTGCGCCCGGGCTTGTATGATTAACAGCGAGAACATGTGTGGGTGTGCATCTTTGGTTGTCTGTGCCTGCACTATACTGCATGATCAGTCACTGGAGTGTACACGGGGGGGAAGCGGTGGACATGTCTGATCTTGCAGCTGATCAAAAGCACCAGAGACTTGTTCCCTTGTGGTCGTGCGAGCGGGCCCTCATATCAACACGTCTCTGTTCAGTAGACAGGAAAAACAAGAGGAGAGAGACAGACAGACAGAGGAGGAGGAGGAGGGGTACTTGAAGAGAGAGACAGAAACAGGCAGGCATAGCAAAGATGAAAGGATGCATAAAGAGGCCAGAGTGGAGAATGACAATGATACATAACCGCACTTATCTCTCTGTTCTGATGAGCTAATTGAAAGGCAAAAGTCAGCTCTGTTTGTGTCTGTAGATTTAACAGCGTGCGTGATCCTTCGATGCAAACCTGACAGCAACTGTCTGTAAAACGCTAAATGTGGAGAAAGAAGAAAACTCTGATGTCTATAAACTTCCCCTCGGGATGCGGCTGGTTACCTTAACTACAAGACCTTGTGTTGTGTGATCACCCACAGAGAGGACAAAGAGCAGGAG